GCGGCCTGGTTCTCTATTCTCGTGGATCTCTAAAAATCTCTCCTATGATGAGGCCCTTCAGCAGTCAATCAACGGCACCTCGGGGATCGATCTCAACGGCGCAATTAGCTTCGTGGACAAAAATTAGTGGTAATCGATGGCGTACTTTCGGTGGCTCTGGCCGTTCCGGTGAGATCGGCCACCGGAACAGGGTTAATTTCTAATGTTAATTTCCAGAGATGGCGTAATTTGCCATAGAGATGGAGAAGGCCATCTCTATTTCCAGATCTCAATTCCTAATGTTAATTTCTGAAAAAAATAATTTTAATTGAAGGATATAAATGTAATTTTTATTTAAAAGATATTATTGGCAACTTTAAACCAAACAAGATAATAAGCTAATTGTTTTTGAGGGCATAACGGGAAGTTAAGCAAAAAATTAACGGGGTTAACACGGAAACAAGGAGGGGGGAGCGTGCGGAATCAAAAGTATAATACAAGGGGGTATGACTCATTTTTTAAAATACAGGGGAATAAGGCGCAAATTTCGTATAATACAGGGGGGTTTGGCGCAATTTATCCATTTTTAAAGAAATGTCCCTAAAATATATATAAAGGACCAATTTGGAATTAAAAAAAAAAAGAAAAAAAAATCTCATCTATACTATTATAAAAGAGCCAATGAATCTGTAAAAATATGATATGCCTACAATACCCTTACTTTTTCATATCTGTAATGTCAAATTTGTAATTTATTACTCATTCTATACTAATATTTTTAATTATTAACTAATATAATAATGATTTAAATACCTAAGCGAAGAGAAAACCACATTCTAGCGACCAGACACTCCACTTGCGTAACCTCTGGAGAGTAGCTAATTATCAATGCCTTTTATTTTTCACAATGTCCCCTTTTGAATTTTTTTCACTCCACATTTTCAATAATATTAAAATTTGAACAAACTTTTAAAATTATCAAAATATGTTTGTTTGATAGTGTACAAAACACCAAAATTATGACATTAGCTTAC